GCTCAGCCCCAGGCTTTCATGTCTCGGAACTCGTCCGCCCACTCCATGATGGTGCCGAAGGCTCCAGAAAGCTGGGGTGGCACAGTGGGAACCTCGCCAACGATGACCTCCCCGCTGCCGCCGTCAATGGTGAGGATCTGGCCTTCCGAAACAGTCACCGCGCCCACTGTAAGCTTGGCTGCAGCGTAGTCCACGGTGATTGCGCCCGCACCCGCCACACATGGCCGGCCCATTCCGCGGGCTACCACGGCAGCGTGGCTCGTCATGCCACCTTGCAGCGAAAGACATGCGGCAGAGGCATCTGCGCATTAGCACAAAAGGGATTGAAGCCCAGCACATCACTTAGCCTAGGAAAAAACATCTGCCTCTAGTGGTGAGGACTCCCTCTGCTGCGTGCAGGCCATGGATGTCGTCAGGGCTTGTCTCAATACGCACCAGGATGACTTTCTCGCCATCCTTGCAGCGTCGCACTGCTTCGTCAGCGGAGAAGACAACCTGCAAAGGGAGCAGGCTTCACCCATGAGGAAATTAAGGGTCACGTTGGGAGTGTGCGCCGTGAGCCCTCGCAAGTTTCAGCACACATCAAGCAAAGGAGCCTTGCCCCCCGCGGCACCGGGAGAAGCAGGAAGGCCCTTGGCTATCACCTCCTTTTTGGCTTTCGGGTCCAGCGTAGGGTGAAGAAGCTGATCGACAAGATCCGGCTTCAAGCTCAAGATGGCTTGCGACTTGGAAATCAAGCCTTCGTTTGCCATGTCGACTGCAATTTGCAATGCAGCTGGCGCAGTGCGCTTTCCGTTGCGCGTCTGCAGCATGTATAGCTTGCCCTGCTGGATAGTGAACTCAATATCTTGCATATCCTGGATGCAGCGCATCGTGCGGCAAGAGGGGGCAAGTCATTGCTTAAGAATGCTTCAAGGTTTCGACACAACTACTTCAAGGTCCTTGTAGTGAGTCTCCAGCTGGCTTCTCACCGAAAGCAACTGCTGGAAGATCTTTGGCATCACCTCTTCCAACGAAGGGAGATCCGACCCGTGTGACTTGCGAGCTTTGATGGTAAGCTCTTGCGGCGTGCGGATTCCCGCAACCACATCCTCACCCTGGGCGTTGACCAAAAACTCGCCATAGAACTCGTTGCTGCCAGTGGACGGGTCGCGGGTGAAGGCCACACCTGTTGCGAGCGAGGCAGAGGAAACTGCTCACTGAATCTATGACGTTTGGAGGGGCAAGGCTTTGCTCGTACCCCCCTCCGACAAAGCTTAAAGAGCTGCAAGGACTCTTGCCCTCCAGGGACTACCAGCAGCTCGGACTCGCAGCTCATAGGGGGGAAAAGAATTTTTTTCAAGATCTGAAGATTGCTGTTTCATTGATGGCTGTAGGGTTCGAGGAAGGCGGGTCGAATAATGTCTTATAGACACGCACACGTACTACGTAGATACCTATACACATTGCATATGAGATCCAGCCTGTGGCACAATCGTTGCCCATATTCCCGAAGACCATTGCTTGGACGTTCACGGCGGTGCCCCACCATTCCGGGATGTCATGCAGCTGCCTGGTGACATGTTACATGTTACAGCTTCATCCAGAACACCAAGGCACCAGTCTTGCACGGGCACCAAAAAATGATTCCCTATGCTAGCAGCTCCGAACC